GTTCCCTGCTGCAGAATCGCTCGGCCACTGACCTCACATCCATGGACCACTCTCTGCCCCATGGTGATTTATCTCTTTATATGTTCAGCCTCTTGGTATTTCCACAACGTACAGCACTCAGTAGGTGTTCAATGAACATCTGATGAAAAACTAGTTACAGGAATGCTCTTCATTCTTCTGCTTTCCATAAACATTCCTAGACCATTAATTGAATATTTATCATGTTTTTTAAAGACCTCCAGAGAAAAATATTTCACCTCCTAAATCAAGAACCCATTCCACTGTTAGTTGCAAGCTTTTGAAAACAAGTGAAGACAGCTATAATAATTCTACACTTAACTAATTGATGGCTTTTGGAAGCCTTGTCCATTCAGAACATCAACTATACTATAAAGTGGCCAAAAATGGTCTCTTCCTGAGGAAGAACATGGAACAATGTCACTCTCAGGCCCTCATCCCCAATTCATGTACTCAAAACAAATTTAAAATAAAGATATCAATTTAACAAGATTGGTCATAGGATTCCTAGAAGACAGAAGACACATAGATAATTATCAGCTACAAGAGAAGAAAACAGAAAAACACAGAAATCAGGGGTGATCGGCATGGTGATTGACACCCGTCCCCATCCATTCCACTGGTCATGTGATCACACTCCCCTTGTCAAGTATTGTTTGGAAATGGGCATGCAACCCTGGGCAATTAGAGGCAAGAAGAATTCTACTGGGGGATTCTTAGAAAGACTTCCTCTCTCTTAAGAAAGAAACAGCAAAAAGACAGTCTTCTTTCTCTGGACAATGCCTTGTCTGGGTGTGACACCTGAGACTGCTGCAGCCATTGCAAATAGGAGGAGGCCAGCCTGGGAGCAAAGTTAACACAAGGAGGGTAGTGCAGCAAGATGGAAAACTGGGGTCACTGATGACTGTCAACTGACCCAGGGGCTTTATCTCTGGACTTCTTGTTTTGAGAGAAAATATATTCTTTCACTCTTTAAGCCAATTTAAGTTAAGATTTCTGCTACCTGTAGCTAAAGGCATCCTAACAGACATAGAATGCAAGAAGGAGAGAATCTCCAGGTACTAATTACATTGGAAATGTTTGAACACTAAAATGGATATGTTAACTTTGGTCATACTGATCTTATACTTGATAATTTGATAAAAGGATAATTGTGTGATTTATTACTGCCCACAGGATAAGAAGTGGTGTGGGTCACAGGATCTACTCTCTGTACAGGTTCTTGCCAATTAATTTAAAAATGAACTTGTTAGATCAGAGAAGAAATGGACTCTGCATATGTGCAAAAAGAGCTTCCTATAGGCCGCTAGCACTGTACCAATCCATCAGTCCACCTCCCCCAGAACGTGGACCTTTCACTCCTGATTCTCTCTATCCTGACAGCACACCGGTCATTCCACAGTCACGCCTCCCAACAGCAAGATCAAGAAGCTGAGCTCTCTCCCTCCAAAGCTTTAGAGGCAATGTGTACACAGAAAACAGAACTGCAGAGAGTTCGAGGCCATGAATCTACTGCTTTACCTTAGAAAGTCATCTATGTTTTCTGCTCTTCTTACTTCACAGGAAATGAGACTATAATCTATTCAAAGAGTTTGCATGATTTTTAGCCAATCCCAATGACCCACTTCAATCTGTTCATTCTTAAAAGTTTACATGGGTTTTAACATTTGCTTTGGAATGCCATTCATATTGTAAAGTAGGATGTGATAATCTATAAATAAAATAGCCCACTTAAAAATAGGAATGAAGAAGATGGTCAATTTAAATGTTATTAAATAGGATCACTTTTTAAAGAGTCTCAATCTTTGCATTTTTAATGATTCATTAAGAAAAACTGTACTTAAGTTTACAATGTTCACACTCTGACCATATCTGCGATGCAGCTCTATTTTCTAAAATGATGCTGCTCATGAAATAGTCATTGAAATATGTATTAGTTTCCTACTTCTGCTGTAACAAATTACCACAAACTTAGTGGCTCAAAACAACACAAATTTATTGTCTTACAGTTCTGCAGGTCAAAAGTCTAAAATGGGTCTTGAGGGGCTAAAATCAAGGTGTCAGCAGGATTTTGTTCTTTCTAGATGCCTTGAACTATAGCTTCTACATACTGTTCTAAGAGCCATAGCCCCTCCAATTGCTTATAATTATTCATAGATGGCAAGTCAACTTCATAAGTGGAGAAAATTGGTTTCCTTGACCATAGTCCAGGGGTAAATGCCATACAACCTCCATACTCTGTACGAAGGCAACTCTCTCTCTGCCTCCTCTCTCTCTAGTAAAGTGCTAGAATCCCTCAATATTCATCCAGCTCATATTAAAAACACTGTTTAACTGTACATGATACTTCCACATTATAAAGCCAGCACCTGGCAAGCCACTTGATGTGTAGATTTTCATCTTTGTTTTTAACCTGCTCTGCAATAAGTTATCTTTGAATTTTGTATTTTATATTGTTCATTTCAAACCAGTTCATGTAGAATAGGAGCATTTCAAACTAAATATTTATTCATATGTTCACAGGCCTGTGTTCATATTATTGTTTGTTTTATAATATTTTGATAATGAGTTATTTTGATACCTTTATAATCTTTTATCAGTTTCATTTGATATGTTTTTAAAGTAATTATTGCCCAATCACATGCTGAATTTTTCAGTAAATAATTAAGTAAACATTGTATGCACATTACTGATACCCTTTGCCTGCCCAGTGGAAACCCATCCTTCATTACCTTCTCCTCACCATATGCATATTTCACAGGAAATCTCACTGTTTCAACTACAACCTTTATGCCACCCTATAGGGTGATAATCCCAGAATTATATCTCAGTCTCAGACTTCTTTTCTGAATTCAAGACTCAAAATCTAAGTCCCTCCTGGACATCCCACAGGCTCCTCATATTTAACATGCCCAAACTAGCTCATCATCTCCCCAAGTACGCCAAACTCACTTCTCTTTCTCTATTCCCTAACTTCATCAGAGGCATCACTATCCACCCATTTGCCCAAGCTGAAAACCCAGAAATCATCCTTGATTCTCTTTTTCTATCTTCCTCCAACCCCCCAAATCAGTCACTAGGACCTGTGACCAAACAGCTCTCAGGCTGGCTCCTTTTCCTCTGTCCCACCACGTCCGCTTTAGTGAAGCCCTTCAGTTCTCACGTGGACCACTTCACTGGTCTCATAAATGGCCTTTTTCTCTCTCCAATCTCATGTTCTTCCCCTCTTCCTCCGCTAGGCAATCACCAGAAGGTTTTCATAATGGACAAGTTAAAAATCTCTTGGTTTTTTAATTCAAAGCTCTTCATGATGCATCCCTTGCTTTCCTTTCCAGCCTCGTGTGCTGCCACATCTGCTAGAGCTTCTTTCTATCCACTTACAACATTCTTTGCCAGCCCATCTGTATGTGTCATGGTCTTTCATTCATGCAATGCCTTTGACCATGTTCTTTCTTTGGCCTCTTTCCCTTACAAACTCACTCCTATCTATACATCCTACAAGTGACAGCTCTGAACACTCCAAGCTAATCCAAATGGCCCCCTTCTACATTTCTGCCCTGCTCTCCCATGACCTCCCTCTATTATAAAACTCACCCTCCCTGCACGGAAACCTCTATGAAATGGGCTCTGCTCTAACCAAGAAAAGGCACTGCCTGTTGTTCTCTGTGCTTCCTCTGCCTTGCAAACTGCCAGGAACAGAGTAGGACTGAGTTAGGTTTGTTGGATAAATTAATTAACCAAATCCAAGGACGGTTCTTCAGAGAACTCTACAAAGGAAGAGAAGATGGCATTAAACATGCACGCATGTTTCTTTAGGTGTAGAAATTATGAACAGTATTCTTCCTGAGACTGCAAACTTTTAAAGGTTTTACCAATTCCAGTTTGAGCTTTAAAAAGAAAAAAAGAGCTTGTTTTAAACTACACAATCAGCTGCTGCGTTTTCCCACTCCACACTCATTGTAATTCACTCGCCCTTTCTCACTGCTAATCTAAAACAGAGTTTCAGGGAGGGGAGGAGAATGATCTTTAAGAAATCACATGTAACAGGATTCTAAGTTGAAGTTTCAACTGAGGCACCAAGATACACTAATATGATATTCCAGAGCAAAGTCCCAGACCAACATCCAAGTTTCCAATAAAATAAACCACAAAAAAGTTATATGATTCTTAAACCTAACCTCTGCTACGCTGAAGGTATAAACGGGCCTAGGTGTTAAAGATTAAGAGAATTTCAGAGAGAGGATTTCTTTGGAGAAGAGGTCACTTCACCTCAGGTCGAGAGAGTGATGCCTCAGAGAATCACCCAGAGCTTAACAGTGTCTCTCCCAAAAAAGTCAAGAGGACAGAGACAGAGGTGCTTCCCGGCTGATGGGGAAGAGACTGCCAAGCTGGGGTCAGCCTGCACCCACAGAGTCTCTCCCTGCAAACACGACCACACGTGGAGAGAGGAAGCCCGGCTTTTCTGGAGACTGACTGCTGAAATGAGGCTGTGTCTGACAATGGAATGCAGCCACAAGAACGGACAGGAAGGTCAGGGACTGCTGAAAGCCCACTCAGAAGCGGGGGAAGGATCTCCCACAGGGAGCAAAATCTGGGAGGACAGAAGGTGACCAGACATATCTGTCTTCTGACTCCAGTCCACTCACGCTCTAGTTCAGCAGACTGGTTATACACATCTCCTCCCCATCTGGAAGTGCTCCCAGAGCCTGCAGCTGTCTTCCAGCCGGGAAGGAGAGACGGAATTCCTTCCAAAACTGAGGTAACTGTGCTCTTCGCGGCAGCTGGAGACTGCCTGCAGCCTGGCTATTTAAGAGCACAAATAAAACACGTCGAAGAAAAGCTAACTTTCTCCCAACTGAAGCACCCATACACATAAACCAAAAATCCATTTTGCTCCTTAATCGACGCCAATGAAAGCAAGCTGTCACCTTAGAAAAGTCAAAGAAGGGGAGGGAGGAGAGAGGGAACACACAGACTCTTACCCAGGCCCTGATTCTGCTGTTTCCACTCGATGGCAGCTGGCACCTGGTAGGTGACTCTTTCCAAGGGGACCATGTTGCCCTGCTCTGAGCCCGGCTCCTGGGACGTGAGGCCAGGGAGAGTAAATCCAGGCAGCTCAGCGTCACCATCCAAGCTCTCATCCAGAGCGTCTGCATCTTTATCTTCCTCATCTTCCTCCTCATCTTCCTCATCTTCCTCTTCTTCGTCTTCCTCCTCCTCATCTTCTTCATCCTCATCTTCTTCTCCCTCTAGCCAAAAAGAAATCAAAGGGAAACATGAAGAAATACAGTGAGTGCATGTAATGAATCTTTTAAAATGACCCAAACACTACAAAATAATTGGGCTTGCCTTTTGAAACAAATTTTATAGCCAAAGTCGGACAATGCAAGCTTTGAGGAATTATGTGCCCACCTACATTTTATATATTTTATATTTTATATATTTATATTTTTATTTTTATTTATATATTTATATATTTTATATATACCTACATTTTAAACTTTCAAAATCACAGTTATGTCAGATAATTATCATGCATCATGTTTCTTGGGAGTCAAAGTTCAGGTAATATGAATTTTTATTAAAGTCATATTTATATTTACAAGGATAGGAAACATCCCCTTCCTGGTTTCCTGAAGGTCATTAAAGATTTATCCATTAGAAAGCACCCCGAAATCCTAACAGAATTTAAAAGGAGCGTTCCAATTCCTTTATATCTCACAATACTACACGAGAGAATTCCTTATTTTGGCACAGTTTTCTTTCCAGTCTTCTTCCACATCAGTGAGTAGAACTCACAACAATGTGAAGTGAGAGCTACATAAATCCACTCCTGGATCTGTGCTGCCTACAGAGGAGTGAGCCAGGAAACGGAAACCAATTACATCAATGTTCTCAGTCCAGCTCTCAAGGGGCCTGGGAAATGGGGTATTGACCAAGGTCAGTCAGAAATGTAACACCTGAAAAAAATCACTATCATTACCATCATCGTAAGAGTTAAATCACAATCTGTTATTTTCAATTTTTAAGTGGAGCCAGTTTAGAGAACGTAAGATCCCCAATTTCATTTTGTTTCACTAATTTTAATTTTCTGGGAATACTCTGAGGGCCCCCCCCCCACCATGGAGGCTCCCCGGAAACCCCTGAGGAGAGCCCAAGAAGTTCACTGAAGGGCCCCCCCTCCCCCCTGGGCTCTCAACACAGCCACTCTGGCAACAGGAAACTCCTCGGACGGGGAAGAAGAGAAGAGAGGAGGGAGGATTAGAGCCACTCAAGAATTCTGAGACTCTCCTTTTCTGCTTCCAGACAATTTTCTCCACACACACCCCTTCATCTATCATTTCATCTCTCAAGAGTTTTTTTGTTTGTTTGTTTTGTGAGGAAGATCAGCCCTGAGCTAACATCTGCCAATCCTCTTTTTTTGCTTGAGGAAGACTGGCCCTGGGCTAACATCCATGCCCATCTTCCTCTACTTTATATGGGAATCTGCCACAGCAAGGCCTGACAAGCGGTGAGTAGGTGTGCGCCCGGGATCCAAACCTGCGAACCCTCGGACCGCCACAGCAGACCACACCGCTTAACCACTACACCACCAGGCCAGCCCCGCTCAAGTTTTTAACTTTTAAAAAAATATTACCTCTAATCTTTGTTATTCTTATATGTCCTTTAACTTTGTAGGACTTAATACTTGTCACTATTCCAAAAATTCAGCAAACATTTATCAAGCATCTAGTTCCAGGAGCTAGGGAGAGAGCAATAATGTCTCTGTCTTCATGGAGATGATATGCCACTCAAGGAGACATACAGCAAACAGATACACAAATACACAATACAACATCACACTTTGATTAAAACTGGCAAGAAGACAGAAAATGCCAGGCGCTGCTATTTTAGATGGGGAGATCAAGGAAAGTTTTTCTGATCAGGTAAGGTCTGAACAAAGATCACACCAAAATAATGAACTATCTTGTTTAATCTAGGTCAACATCTACAGGAAGAGCATTCACTGCAGAGGGGAACAGCAAGGGCAAAAGCCTAGAGGCAGATGTGTGTTTGCTGTATTCAAAGAATGGGAAGTGGGGCAGGAAGAGACAGAATCTAGGAAATGAGGGAGGAAGAGTAGACAGGGGCCAGATCTGACATGCATTCATAAACGACGACTCTGGTTGCAGGGTGGGAACAGGCTAGATCACAGCAAGAGACAAAGCAGGGAGACCCATTAGGAGACTATTTCAAAACCCAGAGAACAGATGACAGCGCTTTGGACAAAGGTGTCGGTCCTCCTGGAAGGAGGGCCAGGTGGTTAGATCTGGGACATAATTTGAAGGTAGAGCCCTGCTGGTAATTATGAGGTGAGATGTGGGAGGAACATCTCACTTTACTAAAAATGAGAACTACAGGATAAAGAGCAAAATCAAGAATTTTATTTGAGACATTAATTATGTGATGGCTATGTATGACATCCAAATGGAAACGCTGGAAGTAACAGGAAGTTCAAAGCTAGAGATAAAAATCTAGGAGTCATCTACTTATAAATAATATCTAAAGCCTTGAGGCTGGCTGAGATCACCAAGAGAATGAGTGTGCACAGAAAGGGAAGAGGTCCAGCCCAAGCCCTGGGCAACGGAACACTGAGAGGTTGGCCAGCAGAGGGAGATCCAGCCAAGCAGACAGAGAAGTGACCGCTGAGGTGGGAGAAGAGCCAAGGCCCCTCGAGCGTGGTGTCAAGGAAGCCAAATGAACAAAACATTTCTGAGGGGCTGAGCAAAAAACTGAGAATGTCCCTCTGGCTTTGACATTTTGAAGGTCATTAGTGACCTCGACCAAAGTTGTTTCTGCGGAATGGCAGGGACAAAAGCCAGACTGGAGTGGTTCAAAAGAAAATTAGAAAAAAAGAAGTAGACACAGCAAATATAGAAAACTCTCACAAGAAATTTGAGAAAGAGAACAGAGACATTAGAGGGTAGCTGGAGGGAGTTAAGGCATCAAGTGTAGGTTTTTAAATTGGAGATACTAGAATTGGTTTGTAATTGATGGGTAAGATCTGCTGGAGAAGGGGAAATCGGTGATGCGGGGGAGAGAGAGCCGCTGGAGGAATGCCCGGAAAGATGAGCCGTTACGTACATGCACCCTGGCCAAACAAACTTATCCAGCTGTGTGATTAGTTACTGAACTTTGCTACACCTCAGCTTTCTCATCTGTAAAACTGGCATCATTCCTACGTCACAGGCTGTTGTGAGGATTACATTAGTTAATACACAAGGGACTTAGAACCAAGCCTGGCACACAGTGGCCACTATAATGTTGGCTTTTTTGCTATTACTGGGAGGGGACAGGATCCAGTGCACGGCGGGCTCACATACATCCTCACTGCAGCCAGCACAGGTGCAGGCAAGTGGGTATATTTGGTGGTGGGAATAAGGGAAGGTTATCTTCATATTTCTTTTATTTTCTCAGTAAAATGAAAAACTGGAAAGGAAAAGAGAAATGTTGGTGGCTTGAGGTGAGAGGAGAAAGGGTGACAGAGTCATCTTGGAGAGTGGGCGAGTGAATTCTCAGGGAAAAAGTTGTAAGACTGCCAGGCAGCTCTGTGGGCCCACCTGAGATGTGACGTCATAAATTTAAAGTGAGACAAGTTAAGATGGTTATGTGGTTTTCTCCAGCCACATCAGCTGCTTGGGTGCAGGCACGGGTGGAGGGGGTGGAGCAGGCAGAGATTCAATCAGTGGCAAGTTTTGCTAGGAGAGCTCAACTAGGGAGGAGTGAGGGAGGGAGGTAGTTGATTGTGTGTGAAGGGAGTAATTATAAAGATGGAGCAGGTTTCTAATCACAGAGAAGCTGAGGAGGAAGCTGGATAGAGAAAAAGCAATGGGGTCATTGGATTATGGGGAAAACTATGGGGATCATCAGGACTATTTGACGACCTTTGATGAAGGGCTTTGCTGACCTTCCTCCTGTAGACAGAAATTGGTCAAAGGCTAAAAAGAACATTTGTTTATTTTTAAAGCATTATAAAATCACTTTTAGTTGCCTTTCCTCTCCACAAACCTAAGAAGGTTGTAACTGACAGAATAATTGTGACACTATGATATCGATCCCCTAGGAACACAAAGGCAAAGCTCTTCACTGAACTGGTGTCCTCTGACCACTACCACCCCCAAGAACAACTTCTACTTGGTCCTCCATGCACACAATTAATTCCTCCTCTTTAAGGTACAGACCTATAAGATCCAGCAATCCCACTCTTGGGTACACATCCAAAAGAAACAAAATCATTATCTCAAAGAGATATCTGTACTCCCACGTTCACTGTAGCATTAGTCACAATAGCCAAGATACGGAAACAACTTAAGTGTCCACTGATGGATGAATGGATAAAGAAAATGTGGTATGTATGTGTGTGTGTATGTATGTGTGTGTGTATATTCACACACACACACAGGAATATTATTCAGCCATAAAAAAGAAGGAAATATTGTCATTTGTGACAACATGGATGAACCGAGAGGGCTTTATGCTAAGTGAAATAAGTCAAACAGAGGGAGACAAATACCACATGGTATCATTTACACGTGGAGTCTAAAAAAAAGTCAAGCCTATAGAATCAGAGGGTAGAGAAGAGGTTGCCACAGGCTGGGAGTTGAGGGAAATGAGGAGAGGTTGGTAAAAGGGTACAAAAGTTCAGCTATAAGATGAATAAGGTCTGAGGGTCTAATGTAAAACATGGTGACTACAGTTGATAACACTGTATGTATAATTGAAATTTGCTAAAAGAGCAGAACTTAAATGTTCTCAAACACAAAAAAAGGTAAATATGTGAGGTGATGGATGTGTTAATTAACTCGATTGTAGGACTCCTTTCACAACGTATACGTATATCAACTCACCACAATGTATACTTGAAACATGTTACAATATTATTTGTCAGTTATACCTCAATAAACTTGAGGAAAAAATTAAGTCCAGAGCTATAAAAAAATGAAAGTAACCTCAAAAGTCATCTTACTCCATCCTTTTGCATCTCAAAGAGAGGGCTGCAAGTCTAGGCCAACAGAAAGGTTGTCGCCTTCATGACGAGATTCGAAGGACATTGCTGAGGTCAATGAGTCTCATGTCTCACAGTCTCTCCCACACCCACCCACCAGGGTAGGGCCTTCTTTCTCCTGCTCCCTGTCCTGAAATGCCCTTCATGAGACATCTAACTCCAAGTCAGACAATGAAACCAAAGAGCACTCTCCCAGAAACTGAG